CATGTGTTTCAGTGTAGAATTGCACTCCATAGGGTTTCCAAGGCTGCCACTTCCAAGGCACCACTGGATGGATTTGAACTGCCAACCTTTTGGTTAATAGCTGAGCTCTTAACTATTTGTACCACCCAGGGACTCCATAAAGAATATGTTGTTGTTGTTGTTGGGTGCTGTTGAGATGGTTCCAATTCATAATGACCCTTTGTACCACAGAAGGAAACACTATCCATCCATTCCTGCACCGCCCTCACAGTCCTTGCTATACTTGAGCCCATCATTGCAGCCACTGTGTCAATCCATCGTGTTGAGGGTCTTTCCCATTTTTGCTGACCCTCTATTTTACCAAGCATCATGTCCTCGTGGGACGAGTCCCTTTTGACAACATGTTAGGCAGTGATAAATGCTATGGGGGAAATAAATAGAGAAGGTGGATAGAGAGCAGGGGGTGGGCAGCTGGAGCAAGTTTCAATTTTGAATAGCAGAGTCATAGACATTCTCACTAAGTTGATGCAAGCCCTGAAGGATGGAGGAGAGTATTCCGGGCAGCAGGAATAGCAGGTGCAAAGACCCAGAGGCAGGAGCATGCCTTGTGTACCCTGCTTGAGGAAGAGCAGGATGCCATCATGGTTGGAGTAAGGTGAACTAGGAGAAGAGATGACAATGGGGCCGGACAGGAGTGGTGGCTGACCAAAGGCCTGTGTGCGATGTGTTAGGCAGAGGAGTGACATGATCTGACTTATGTTTTCCTAAGACAAGATCACTCTGGCTGGTGAGCTGGGACTAAATTATGAGGGAGAGGGTGGCAGACACCTCTTTAAGAAAGGACTGGCTGCCCAGCTGTTCATGCAGAGTCTGGTCTGCTGCCAGCTTCAGCGAAGCCTCTCAGTTTTCCTGTGAGGCCACACCTTCTCAGGATGCCCCTAGGCAATGATGGAGCCCACAGGCACTACAAGGACCCAGCCATTTCCATCCATGAAGGAGGAACTCCTCTAAAGGGCAGTCTTAGTTCCAGAGCTCCCATGATGGGTCTTGTTGCTTGATCTTGCTTTCATCCCCTTTTCCACTTGCAGGTGGAAAAACATGCTTTGTACGTCGACTCCTCCTCAGTGTCTGCTTTCCAGGGGCAAGGGGCAAGAGCAGAAGCAGGGAGGTTGCTGCTGTAACGCAGGTGAGAGAGGATGAGGGCTGGATACAAACTGGCTCCTGTTTTCCTTGGGCCGTAACATGGCTTTCCATGTAGCAGAAGTGGACTTGAAGGCTTGTATATTTGAAATCTAAACCTGGCATATGCCTGAGAGATGGAAGCTTGCAGTGTGTATCATGTGATGGAGAGGAGGAGGGAGAGAGGTGTGCAACCTGAGAAAGCCAAGGCGATACCCACTCAGAGTAGTGGCCAGTATAGGGGTGACAGTGATGTGCCCTGGGGACTCTGAGGGGTAAATACTAAAGCGAGCACATAGTTGATGGGAACAGCAAGCTGTACTACTCAGGGTGGCTCTCAAGATGAAGGTGGGATGCTCAGGGCTGGAATGTCTCCTTGCTCATGGTCCTGGGGCTGGCAGTGGCAGTGGAGCCAGCACTGGGAGCTTTGGTCCAGTGGGAGGGCTGGGCGAAGTTCTCTGGATGCTCTGACCCTTGGCCAGGCAGTTAGGACCCAGGAAGATGCTGGAACTGACTGTGGCGAGGACGTGGAGGTCACCTCTCTGAGGCCTTTGTAGCACCAGCGCAAGCTCTCACTTATGTGATGAAGTGGTCAGGGCAGCAGGCAGAGGTTTTCCAAAGCACAGTTGTTCCTGGATATTTAAAAACAAACAGATCAGTTGCTATTGAGTCAATTCTGCTTCATGCTGATCCCATATGTTGCAGGGTGGAACTATGTTGCATAAGGTCTCCAGCTGTGAGCTTTCAGAAATAGACAACAAACTGGAAAACTCACTGCTGCGGAGTCAGTTCCCACTCATGGTGACCCCTCCTGGGGTTTCTAAGGCAGCCTTTATTCCAGGTTACCTCTAGGTGGACTCAAACTGCCAACCTTTCAGTTAGCAGCCAAGTGTGTAAACGACCATTTTTAGCATAGTGTCCAAGGCACTTGACTGCTAACCAGAAGGCTGGTGGTTCAAACCCACCAGCCACTCCTTGGAAGGAAGGTTGGAAAATCTACTTCCATAGTGATACTGCCTCGGAAACCCAAGGAGGGATCACTATGAGTTGGGTCTGACTCAAAGGCACATAACAACAACAACAACAACAACAACAACAATAACAATAGGGACTCCACCTAGATATTTACTGAGCCCTTATTAGGTGCCTAGCTTTACCCACAGTGTTTCATTTTATCTCCACAATAGTCCTACAAGGTGGCTACTGTCCTGAGAGCTGCATTGAATATATTTCCTGTGTTCCTTGGGCCCACTTTCCACCCTTCTCCACCCCGCTTTGTGCCCTGGGAGACTGACTCATACCTGTTGCCTCCATGGGCTTCCTCACCCTCTGGCCTTTGAGCTGGGTCACTGGGAGCCACTGATAGGTGAACAGAAGATGGGAGGAGAGGAAACTGGAGTATTTATAACCACTCCACAGGAGAAAGATGAGGCAGGCTTCTTCAGTAAAGATTTACAGGCTTGGAAACCATAAGGGGCAGTTCTACTCCGTCCTAAAGGGTCATTATGACTCAGAACCAACTTGATGACAGTAGGTTTATTTATATTTTTGGTTCTGGTTGGCTGCGTTCCACAGCTCCTGTGTCCCCTGTCCATTACCAGCTGGTACTAGTCCTGGGCTCCTGCAGCATCCCTTGTGGATTTCCTTAATCGTGCCCTTACCTTTCCCTCTAGGAAAATCTCTTATTCAGTTTGCATGTGTCATCTGTTTATTGCCAGGGACCCTGACTGATTCATCATTGTACTGATGACAAAACTGAGGCTCCGAAAACTTGTCTAAGGTACAGTATGATGAAGCTGTGATCATGAAGTGGTCAAGCTATGATTCAAACCCACAGGGTTTGGGGTGGGGCATGTAGTGTCAGCCCAGCCCTGGACCCTTTAAACTTGGCTGACTTATCTACCTCGTAATGGCCACACTTGAGAACAAATATGAACCATGGCCTGTGTTGTTTACACAATGACCCGACCTCTCCCTTCTTCCATTGGCTCTTGGCTCACTGGCTCCTAGAATTCTGGCTCCTGGCTTTGGCTTTGATAGTGACTAAATGTCTCTTTGGTGGTTCCTGGGTGGTGCAAATAGTTTGTGCTTGCCTACTAACCCAAAGGTGGGTGGTTCAAACCCACTCAGTGGTGACTCCATGTGACAGAGTAGAACTGCCCCATAGCGTTTGTCTGGCTGCAATCTTTATGGAAGCAGATGGCCACGTCTTTCCCCTGAGGAGCAGCTGGGTGTGTTTGAATAGTCATCCTTTCGATTAGTAGCTGAGCACCTAACCACCAGGGCTCCTTCTGTAAAAATTACAGCCAAGAAGACCCTATGGAGAGGCTCTGTTCTGTAACACATGAGGTTGTCATGAGTTGGAATCCACTTGATGGTAACAGAAAAAACAAAAAAAAGTCTCTCTGGTTTAGTGTAACCTTGCACTGCCTTTTGCTTCCCATGTGGGTCTGGCCTTAGCTGCCCTTGGATATTGGTGTCCCCTAAACATCAGGTCACCACACAGTCCTGGGAGTGGGGCAGTGACCCACCCCAAGGGTTGGTAACTGTAGAAGATGATCAAGTTTCTGTCTCCTGCAGGCTCTCTGCTCTTTGGGCAGGACAAGCCCTACTCCCCTCTCCCATCCCACATCCTGGCAGGGCCCTGGTATGGAGAAAATGTTCAGGGAAAGTGGAATGAGCTGCATAAAATGCTTGGGTGAGGCCAGGACTGCATGCCTTTAGGAGAGGGACGTGGCCTCTTGCGTGTACTTAAGGAGTGAGAGTATAAATAACTGGGATTGTGTGTACACAAGGTGGGGAAGTGGTTAGTGGATGACAGTGATTGGGTTACAAAGGTGGTGGGAGTGTGGTTTACTCTGTAATGAGCATGACAGGGACTGTGTTTATGTACCTAGGCCAGGATCTTTTGTAGAGGGAGCATGGTGCTCTCGTGTGGCCATAACTAGAACCACAACATGCGTATCAGTAAGTTTTACCCCAGCCTTCTCCCACCCATCCCTACCTCTCACCTCAATCAGTTTCAGTCCCAGCTTAGCTTCACCCCAAGTCATGTAGCTCTTACCCCTTCTGAAGGCTACTCCTGCTCTCAGGTGTGAGTGTAGGAGAACAGAGGACAGAGCCAAACTGTATAAAACAGACTTTATTTGAGCTCAAGGAAACTGCTTTGGGGTTGTTTCCATCTGCTCATCCACCCCAAGTCCCTAGGGATAAGGGTCTGAAAGGTTGGCACCAGACTTAGCACATTTGTGGTAAGGAGTATGGGAGCAAAGCTACCTGAAGCTGGAGGAAAGGGGTTCTGGGGCAGGGGAGGCTTCCCCTGAGGGCAGTGGCAGCCCAGGGGATCCCTGGTGTCTTAAGCAAGGATCGCCTCACCAGAGCTGCCTCCTCTTCCCAAGCTGTCAGGCCTCCAGAGCCCCTACAGCTGGGAGAATACTGCCTCTCCACCCCAGGAATCCCGGCTGCTTCTCCTGAGGGAGTGAAGGCTTCCTTTGGTCTCAGGCATCCAAACCAGGGCAAATATTTCACTTTTCGTGGCCTCCAGGCTGTTCTCTCTGCCTCGAGACACTTTTCCCTGCTCTTAAACCTTATTTCCTTAGGGAATCCTTGACTGATCACCTCCTCTTGGGTCAGGTAAAAGTTCTTGCTATGAGCCCCCTGTCTCTGTGCATGTGGGGAGTTAACTGGCTTGTTTAAATGTCTGTCTCCCTGAGGCTGGCACAGGGCCTGTGATGTTACCTATGCCCAGGGAGGAGATAGCACGGAGCCCACCACTCAAACATAAGTCAAGGCATGAACTTGGATAGCTTAGTGAATTAGTTTAGCTCAGTGGGGGTACCCCTCCCCGCTTGTCCCCAGTGATAGCCCCTGTCTCCCCCCCAACCTGTGCTCAGATGGGGGGCAGCTTGGGTGCCGAAGCCTGTGGCTTTTCATCACCTGGGCTGGGGCCCAGCTCTCCAGCCTCCACCAACTTGTGATGGCAGCGGCAGGTGGAGGCCCGGCTGGTGGAGGACAGGGCGCTGCGGCCTGCCCTGGGCCTGCTCTTGCGCAGCCCCTGCAGCACCCTGTGGAAGATGAGGTAGCAGATCTCACAGATGGTGAGCACGATGCAGATGGCCGAGGCCCCCACCATGAAGTAGGTGAAGACCTTCTTCTCGGTGGGCCGGGCGATGTAGCAGTCCACGATGTTGGGGCAGGGAGCCACGTTGTTGCACTGCACCAGGCGCGGCATGCCGAAGCCGTACCAGAGCGTGTGCAGCACATAGAGGAAGAGGAACTCGATGATGAGCTTGAAGATGAGGCTGAGCAGGTAGGTCCACCACAGGCCACCATGCTTCTTGCCCGCGTTGTCGTACAGCTTGGCACACTGCTCGCCGTGCTTCTGGCGGTGCCGTCGCTCGCGCTCCTCACGGTACGCCACGTGCAGTATGACCAGCAGTGATGGGCAGGTGACGAAGATGAGCTGCAGGGCCCAGAGGCGGATGTTGGAGATGGGGAAAAAGTTGTCATAGCAGACGTTGGTGCAGCCCGGCTGTTTGGTATTACAGTCAAAGTCTTTCTGCTCGTCCCCCCATACACGTTCTGCGGCCACCACGTACACCAGCACCCGGAAGACGAACACCACCGACAGCCATATGCGCCCGAATGCTGTGGAGTACTTGTTCACGCCGCTCAGAAGACTCTGGAAGGTCTTCCAGTCCATGGTGCCTGACGGGGGTGTGGGAACCTATGCCTACCTGCAGGAATAATGGGAAAAACCATAATGTTGATTAATGCTAGCTGCTGTCAGGTGGGCTTCCGACTCACTGGGAACCCTTGCACGATGTAATGAAATGCTGCCTGGTTCTGCACCACCTCCACGATGGGTTGCAGATCTAACCACTGTGAGCCATAGGGTTGACACTGGCTGATTTTCAGAATCAGCCTTTCTTTACAGTCCATCTTAGTCCAGAAGCTCTTCTAAGCTGTTCCACATCATAGCAACATGCCAGCCTCCAATGATGGACAGGTGGTGGCTGCCCATGGGATGCACTGGGTGGGACTTGAACTCATGTCTCCTGCATGGAAGGTGAGAATTCTACCAGGGCAATGTGCCCCTGTGTTAATTAATGGATGACAGTTAGTGAGCATTTACAGTTACTGAGTTATTATCTACAGACCAGGTGCTGTTCTGAGTTCTTTACATGAGTGGATTTGTTCAAGGGACCCTATGAGACTGCTACTGTTGTTCTTCCCAAGCTACAGATAGGAAACTGGGGCACAGAGAGGTTAAGTAGCTTACCCAAAGTCAGAGAGCTCCTATACAGAAAGAGGGCCATATGCATTTGCTGCTAATAACAGTTATCATTTGTTAAGCACTGTGTATGAGCCAGGCACCAAGCTAAACACTCCATGTGCAAGACTGCATTTAATCCTTACAAAGACCCCATGAGACAGACATTTTTATGCTCCCCTTTTACAGATGAAGAAACTGATAATCAAATGAGGTAATGATTGCAAAGCACTGGGTACAAAGTACATGCTTAATGAATGCTGGCCACTTCTTACTGTGAAATCTAGAGAGGTCAAATTCCTTATTAAAACTGGAATTGGATTAAGGCAGGCAATCAGGTGCCAGGGCCTTTGTGTCCCACTGCCTCCCCTCCTCTTCTCTGTGGGCCCCTGCCCCAGACCAGGTTCTTGCATCTGTTACCTTGTTGATGCTTCATTACCATTCTACAGAGAGTACACTGAGGCTCCGAGAAGGGAAATGACCCACGGCAGTGGGTGGTGAAGGTGGGAGAGGAACTCAGTTTGGGGATCTATGGCGGAATGATATGGTCTCCCTCCTGGGAGGACATTAGATCCAGGGACTATCTAGAGACAGTTCCCCGCCCTGTGCCAGGGCCTGGGGAGCCCCAGCCAGTCTTAGCCTCGCTGGCTGCCAGGGCTTCGTGGTGGGTGACAGGCATTGTCCAGGCCCCCAAACCTCCCATTCCTCCTGATGACTCAGAGGGTGTGGATGGGTGGCCCGCCTGAGTACACATAGCTTCTGCATGCAGCTGTGGGTGTGGGGTGTGAAAGCCTGAGCCTGCCTGTGTGCCAGTGTGGGCCTGTGTGCATGCATACCCGGCTCTGTCTGCCTGGGTGCAGATGAACATGTGTGTTCTCTGGGAGCTGGGCCTGGGACTCTGCACACGTGATGCCTGCATGTCCACCCTGCGTGACTGCTTCTCACCCCTCCACTGTTACTAACACTCCTGCTGTAGTATTGCTAAGGCCTCCTCACTGGCCTTTCAGCTTCTACTCCCCTAATACCAGTACCAGTTGTCATGGAGTGCACTCTGACACATGGCAATCCCATGTGTGTCACAGTAGAACTGTTCCACAGGGTTTTCAAGGGTGATTTTTTAGAACTACATCATCAAGCCTTTCTTCTGTGATACCTCTGGGTCAACTCGAACCTTCAACCTTTCAGTTAACAGCTAGGTGTGTTAATCGTTTATACCATCCAGGGACACCCTTGTGCCCTAGAGTCCAATGAATCATCATGTCACCCTCTTGTTTAACACTCTCTAGTAGGGTGTCATTATGCTTATAATTAAACCTTGGAGTCTATGCTCTTTCCCCCTCTCCTACACTCTCACGCTGCCTCCCTCTCCTCCTGCCACACTGGGACGCTCCAGGGCTTTGTTCCTTTTGCTTGGAATGCTCTTCCTCTAGAACCCTGCATGGCTGGAGGCTTCTCATCACTGAGGCTTCTGCTTAAATCCCATTTCCTTAGAGGCCTCCCAGATCACCCCATCTCAGAGAGCCCCCTGGCCTCTCAGCCACTCTGCTCAAGTGTTTGTTATTTCTTCTTCTTTATTGCCTGTCTCCCCTACTAGACTGTCAGCTCTGTGGGGCCAGGGGCTCTGTCTATCTTGCTTACTGCTTTATATTTAGTGCCTACTGCCTGGCACATAGTAGGTACTCAATAAATGTTGACTGGATAAATGAACGAATGCTGCATTCGCACAGAGGTAGCTTGGAGGCAGGAGTGTGAGGTGTGGGCAGAAGCATTGAGAGGCCAAGGGACAGGATGGGGTGCCTTGGGAAGACTTCATCCCTGAAAACCCTTTCTTCTATCCCACTCCGCTCCTTCTAAGCCCTGAGATTTTGGGAGGGGCAGTGGAATGTGCATTAAATACAGGGTCACATCTGGATTCAGCTCTGTCACTTTCCCTGGGAGATTTCCAAAACTTCTCTAATCTCATCTATCCTATTTCCTGATTATCTCTAAACGGAATTAATTTTTACTTTCTTGGGCTGTTGTAAGACTCAAAAGAGGTCATTTCCTCTTTGGCCTCAATGGAAATTGAGGTTTGAGCCCTGTCTGGTGTCTGCCGGCCAGCGAGGAGAGGGGCCCCAACATGCTGGCACCCACCTGAGCCCTCCCACGCGGCCCACTCCGGTGCAGCCCCTTCCTGGGGCCCCACCTTCCACCTTCGGGTCCGCCAGACACACCCTATGGACGCGACTCACCAGCAAAGAATTTCCCTCCCAAGTTCAGGCGGGGACTGGCGAGCGAGTTCTGTCTTCTCCCCTGTGCCCCCCACGCCAGTTCCCAGAGCATCCCCTGTTTCCAGCCCCTGGACCTGGCTAGAACTAGCCTCCCTCCATTCTAGTCCACCGAGGGCTTATAGACGTGAGCACGGTGGTCCAGGAATCTTCCAACAGCTGCAGCCCCCACCTCACCTTGAGTTGAGGGGCCAGAAGGCCGTCGAGGAAGCTAGTTGGGTCTCCCCACCGCTTGCCTTCTCCCAAGCCCCAGCTCCGCTGCTCAAACAGGATAAAGCCCCAGCCTCGCCGCCGGGTGTCGCCGCCGCGAAGCGCAGCGCCCCCGGGGCCCGTTCCATCCCTTTACTTACCAGCAGCGCCGCGGCCACCGTGGGGCCCTGACCCCGCGTCCACGAGGCCGGCGCAGAGGAGACCCGAGCCCGGGCTCGAGGTGACGGCGAGGCGCGCGGCTGACAAGCGCGGGGAACGGCGTAGAGGAGAGAAGGTCTAGGGAGGAGCCAGAGGAGCTGCCAGGGAGGCGATACGCCTGGGCTCTAATCCTGGCGCCGCCACGGGTTCCCGGGGCAGCCTTTAGCGGGGCTTGTGGCGCCTCGGAGCCTTGGTTTCCTCATTTGCGAAGTGGGGGAATTGTTGCCCGTGGGCAGGGCTGTTGCCAAGGCGCCAATGAGATTAGGGGCGTGAAACACTCTCAACTGTTTAGTGCTGTGGCAGCAGGACGGACTGCAATCACGACTCGCCCACGCTCGTTACTACAGATACTCGTCCGCGCCCTGCCATTCACGGTCCCCGCCTGACACGTTTTCTCGACCCTGCGTTGAGGGCACTCCTGAGGTCTGCCCTCCTGGCTACAGGGGAGCGCTGGATCCGCCACGGTCCCGCTGGGCTCAGGCTCCACGTTCTCGAATGAGGAGTTTTTTGGACTTTGGAGAACTGGGGTGGAACAAACCCAGTGCCTGGAAAGGAGATGGGGCTCGCGCGCGCGCTGGAGAGAGGTTCTAACCCCAGAGAAGAGGGCAGGATGAGGGAGGTCATTGCCTGGAGTTAGTGCAAGAGGCAGATCCTGCGCCCAGGGGGACAGATCCTGTGGCCTAGAGGAGAGGGTCGGACCTGCGCGGAGGAGCCGGGGTAGTAGGGGTAGACTTCATGCCGAGGGAAGCAGGCCTGTGCGGCTGAGGTGCGGCTGGGCTGGGTTCTGGGGACAAGGAGGCTTTGTCTTGTTTACTAGATTGGGAACCTAATGAGAGTCTCTGGTGATCTGCCTTCCGGCAGGGAAGCCCCAGCACTTCCGGCCTCCTTGGGAGCCCCGGGATATGAGTCACCACTGAACCCCCTCGGGCCTGTTCGAACCCTGTCTGCACACAAACCACTCTTTAGTATGAGGTCAGCGACCAAACAAGGTTTGCCCAGGATTGTTCGAGTTTGCTCCAGACTGTACGATTTTGCTCCTGTGGTCCTGGAAGAATTAACAACACCCCTTTGACTCTTAAAAGTGCTCCAGTTAAACAAAGACCAGGTTTACTGGTCTGCTAGAGCCTGGTGAAACCCGAGACCATGGCCCCTAGTCACCCTTCAGGCCTGAAATTGAATTCACGCCCCTGGCTTCCAGCCAAACAATAGACAGGCATATATGGTGAACTTTTATACCAGGAAGATACATTCCTTAGAACAATCAATCATGGGAGATCAGAAGGGCAGTTTTCCACAGGGAGATAGCACAGAGCACAGGGAGGAAGGCCATAGGGAAGAGGGAACTACAGGGAGGAAGTGGGAAGAGAGCTGTTACATTGTGGGGACAGCAGCCCATGTCATGAAACAAAATGTGTATGAACTGCTGTTTGGAAAATGAATTTGCTCTGTAACCTTTCACCCAAATCACAATTAAAAAAAAAAAAAAAAAAAAAAGAAGTGCTTATGTTGGTAGAGACGTGCCACTGCACTGGGAGCTTGGCAACAACATCTTTGTGTTTATTTCCTCCCTAGGTTTCCAGATGAGGAAGGTATTAGCCCTCCCAGTTTTATGAATGAGAAAACTGAGGCATAGAGAGATTAGGTGACCCTGGAGGCCTCAGCAATGTTGGATTTCTGGGTTGGGCAAACTCACAGGGCAGAGGCCGCCTTCTACTCACAAAGGTCATGGCCGGGGGAAACCTTTGCTGAGATTTAACATGCTGG